TGCAACTTTTTTTTGTTCAACACCTAAAGATTTTATTTGACTAGTTAAGTTAAGATAAAGACATGATTTTGATACCACTAATAATAACACTAAATCTCTACAATAATATGATATTATCCACTTTGAGCATAATCTCTCGTGAGTTTATCATTAGTTTTCCCAAAAGGTCTCATATTAATAGAGATAGTGTCCCTTATATATCTAAGATCTTTCCCTTAATTAATCAATGTGGAAGAATAAATCGAGTTCGACAAAAAACGAGGTAAGAGGCTGAGATGGGCCATTTCGTACTACGTTACTCTTTTTTTTTTTTCTCCATTCAAATGTTTCTCATTGAATGCCCAGATTTTAATTTCATATTTTTTTTTTTTTAAATTTGAGTGTTCAAAAACTTCAATAACTTGAAGATTCCCCTCCATTTAATTCTATTGGATCATTAACTTATTTGAATTTTTTAATTTCAAATAAATAAAAATTTTATGGGTTAGAATTCATTAATGAATTCTCCCAAATTAATTTGGGTTCAATCAAACCAAATCAAATTTATTATCAAACTTAAAAACAAATTTTATTTAGTTATTTATTCTCCAATCACCCCAAGTAAATTTTACTTTTTTTTATACACAATTTTTAAAGATATATATTAAAATTAAATTGTAAATATTAATTCAATATTTTAGAGTTAAAAAAAAAAAAAAAAACTATCCATTTTAAATTAAATAAAAGAAATACTACTCAAACAACAATTAGACTGAGTCTATTAACTATCACAATCTAGGTGTGAAAAAAAAAAGTCATGTCATGTTTTATAAAGTATTTGGTTTTAGGTAGTTTTCAAGTAATTTTCATAAATGGTTAATAATGATCAGATATAAATTCAAAATACTTTTCCAATCCTCCTAAATTATTTCATTTCTTTGAGATGTGATGTTTGGGTCTTAAATAATTAATTTCCGAAAAGGAAAGAGCTAAAGGAAGGAAGAAAAGTCGTAAAATGACCTAAGAAAATGATGCACAAAGAAGGGTTCAACATTAAATGAATGAGATAAGGAATAAGTTGAGTAGTTTTTTCTTTTTTTTTTTTTTTTCTTCTTCTTCTATTTATCTATCTATCTATCTCTATTTATCTATAGATAAGGATTAAAGATATTCTAAAATCTCACATCAGTTGAAGAGGAGAACGAAACATTTTTTTTTATAAGGGTAAGGGTGTGGAAACCTCCCCCTAATAGATGCTTTTTAAAACCGTGAGGTTGATGGCGATACGTAACGGACCAAAGCGAACAATATCTGTTAGCGGTGAATTTGGTTGGTTACAAATGGTATTAGAGCCAGACATCGGACGAAGTGCCAGCGAGGATGCTGGCTCTCAAGGGGGTGGATTGTGAGATCTCACATCGAATGAAGATGTGAACGAAGTATTCGTTATAAGGGTGGGAAACCTCTTCCTAACAGATGCATTTTAAAATCGTGAGGCTAATGTTAATGCGTAATAGGCCAAAACAAACAATATCGGCTAGTGGTGGATTTGAGTTGTTACAAATGTTATCAGAGCCAGTCATCGGGAGGTGTGCCAGCGAGATCGTTGGTGTAACGGATCAGGTAAAAAAAAAACGGTTGTCGGCAGGACCGAAAACTCCGGCGAACGTTGGAGTTTTCGTTCTCACACAACCCATAAAGAGAGCCCAACGTCGGGGTCACCACGGAAACCAAACCGACCTTCAGCCACCTCCAAGACTCCTGCCGAGAAGAAAAATAGTGAGAAAACGAGAAAGATAGTGAGAAAATCTGACGAAGCTCCAGCAAAGCCAAACCCTACGAAATCGACGTCGAAACTTCCGATTTATGCAACGAAAATAATCCCAGAGACTTTACACACACTAGGGGTAGATTTAGGCGATTCCTACACATGGTACACCGTCAGACAAGGGAGATAGAACGTCGGATTTTTGAACCCTCTCAGATCCGGGAGTGTTAGGCCTTTACGAACCAAACAAATACCAAAAACGAAATTAGGGGGAGAAGGAGACTCGGAAACGGAGGAGAAAGGAGGGAAAAAGGACGTCGGAACGACGTTACCGAGGAGAGAGAGAGGTCGCCGGAAAATTTCGTGTAACCAGGCGAAGAAGACGAAGTCCGACTCGAGGGCCGGACTCCCGCGACCCGAACCGAGTCCAACCCACTCTAGTCCAAACCTCGGCCGACGACACTACCTTGGCCCAGTCGCCTCAGCCCAAACCAGAAAGCCCAATTACGACCTAACCCATCAGCCGCGTCCCGAGACCCGCAAGCCTAATCCAATACCCGACGCTCACAACCCAGCCCACCTGCAGAAGTTTCCTTTCAGTCCAGGCCCGATCCATCACTCGCGGTCAACCCAGACCTGTGACTGCAACCGAAAACCCGCGCACTCGACTCGACAACTCGTGCCTCGACCCAAGACCACTGCACACATGTTGCCCTCTAGTTGTGCCACGTGGCACGTCTGCAGCGCGACACCCCTCAGCTCCGGCGGCTTAATCGGCTCGGCGGTGGCTTCTCGGCTCCGACAGCTTATTCGGCTCGAGAAACCTGTTTTCGACCTATTTGTTACTGTTCTGACCCTCCCAAACTTAGTTTCGACCCCGTTTAAGGTAAAATAAATCATTTTAAGGTCGTATTTCACAAATTCAAGTTGGAAATTATTTATGTTTGTGAAATACTAACGAAGGTGTCGAATGATCCAATAGGAACCAACCACCAGTGGAAGCGTAGGACGTATACAAGGAGCTAGGAGCTTACGTTTATATTTTAGGGAGTACTTCGGCTAAGGCCTACCAAGTAAGTGGCTCACCCGTCGTAGGTTATGCGTTGTATGTTGGCACGTGCCAGTGGATTTGCACGTGTCATTAAATTGTATGCTAGACTGTTGTGCCTAAGTACGTAATCTTGTGAACATAAATGTATTTTGTTTAGTATGATGTGATATGTAGTGCTTATGACGTTTATGATGTTCCTAAATGATTATGGCATGATTGTATGAAATATTTGAATGTAAACAGTATTAAATGTATGACATGAAATATGGTAAATTGCTTGAAATATAACCCCGTTAGGATTATGTATGATACGTAGACTGAAAATGAGAAATGACACGTTAAGCATGAAAGATGATCGCGGGGTTATATTCATTTATGATAAGGTAGGAGTAATGGGGATCTCATGCATTATGTGTGTTCATGCATTGGGGGGATACCCTTATTCCATCACGAGGGTATGGACGCGTACATCCAATGGCAGGATGACGATTGTTATGTTTTGTGTAGCGTTGTCGTGACGGTTACTAGTTCTAACGGGTGTCCGGCCTAAGGAGCTCCCAGAGTATGCTCGTCCAACAAGGAAAATGGCCCAGTGGTGTGCGAACTGGCTAGTGAGTCCATACTCGCACGTATGGACTGTGTGTAGAGTATATGATACACGTCCAAATTACTCATTAGAATAGCACCGTAAGAAGACAAATTGAAAGATAAGTCCTATCATCTCATTGCGTGTGATTGTTACATAACCCCGATAGGGGGTCACTTACTGAGTATTCTAGAAATACTCAAGCCTCGTGCTACTATATTTTTTTCAGATAAAAGCAAGACACCCATATGAGATCGACGGCGGCATCGCACATCCCGGGACTGTGGCACATGCATAAGATAGTTGTTTCCATTTCGTAGTATAAGTTAGTATAGGTTGAATTTCGTTTGCATTTAAAGTATAGGTTAGTGTAGGTTGAATTCACGTTTGCATCATTAGTATAGGTTAGAATAGGTTGAATTGTAATCGCATAATAAATCATAGGGCAGAATAAGTGTTGTTTTTTTTTTTTTCTTTCTTTCCCTTGTATTCCTTTTTCACGAGGTAATAAAAGGCTAGCGTAAGTCGCATTTATGATAAGAGCCCATTTAATGTAAATTCCGCATTTAAGGTATAATAACGACCTAAGATTAAATAGGTAAAATTTAAGGTCCTTATAGCTGGCCCCCGAAGGGGATGGATTGTGAGATCTCATATTGGTTGGAGATGGGAACGAAGTATTCCTTATAGGAGTGGGAAACCTCTCCCTAAGATATGTGTTTTAAAACCGTGAGACTAACAACGATTCTTAAAGGGCCATAGCAAACAATATCTACTAGCAATGAGTTTGGGCTGTTACAAATGATATCAGAGCCAGACATCAAGAGGTGTGCCAACAAGATTGCTGGCCCCAGGGGGAGTGGATTGTGAGATCCCACATCGGTTGTTGATGGGAACGAAGTATTCGTTTTAAGAGTGGGAAACCTCTCCCTAACAGACTCGTTTTAAAACCGTGAGACTGACGACGTTACTTAAAGGGCTCTGCAAGCGATGGGTTTGGGCTGTTACAAGTGGTATTAGAGCCAGACATTGGGCAGCGTGCTAGCGAGGACTCTACCTCCCAAGGTGGGTGAATTGTGAAATTCCACATCAGTTAGAGAAGGGAACGAAGTATTCCTTATAAGGGCGTGGAAACCTTTATCTAGGGATGAATTGTGAGATCCCACTTCTCCTAGAGAAAGGAACAAAGTATTCCTTATAAGGGTGTGGAAACCTCTCATTAAGAGACACGTTTTAAAATCGTGAGGCTGGTGACGATACGTAACGAGCCAAAGCGGATAATATCTGCTACCGATATTGTGGCGGTCTTAATAAATAATTTGTATGATGGCTATACATAACCAACCAGCGTCGACAATATCTGCTGACGGTGGGTTTGGGCTATTACACATATTGTAGTAGTATCATTGAATAATTCGTACGGGATACAATCTTTAAAGGTTTGAAATTATAGCTACAAATCATTTATTGATGTTAGTAAGACATACTTCAGTGTGGATACAACTCAGACATAGATGTTTCATTAACTGTGATCCACATCAGTTGGGGAGGAGAACGAAACACCATTCATAAGGATGTGATCCACATCGGTTGGGGAGGAGAACGAAACACCCTGCATAAGGGTGTGGAAACCTCTCCCTAGTAGACGCGTTTTAAAGCCTTGAGGGAAAGTCCGAAAGGGAAAGTCCAGATGACAATATCTACTAGCGGCGGACTTGGGCCATTACATTAACAAACTACTGGACCGAGATGTGCTTGTGGTTCGATTACTGTCTACTACAATACCACCATCTTTACTGTGCATGAATGACGCTGGTTCCCTGCGCAATGGCAAGGTTGTAGAATAACTATTGAGCATTAGAACAATGGATGTGATATGAACCAAGAGACTTGGAAAATATATTAAAAGAAGCATTTGTGCTTTTCTTTAGCCAATGGCTAAGTTTCTTTGCAACTCTATCTAGTTTAGGTTGCATGTAGAATCATTCAAGCTCGACATGATCAATCTTGCTTGTGGAGTGATTCGAATCTCAATCAAGTGTTCTTGTCTTGAGATATTTGATCAACAAGAATCATTGAAGCTAGACATGGTCGATCTTGCTTCTGGAGTGATTCGAATCTCAAACAAAGTGTTCTTGGCTTGAGATATTCGATCGACAAGGTAATCCGAATCTTATTCCCCTTGTATTGATTCCTTATCTTATCAGGATGTCATTGAAGGCCTACGGCTGGGATTCTCCTGAACGCATAACAAAGCAATATGGATGCATCTAAGCACTTCATTTCTTGAGTAATTATCTCTAAGTATTGGGTCCAATAGCTCTAAGGATGTTCCATTCTTCCATAGTTTCCAAGCCTAGCAAAAAAAAAAAAAGCTCATGAGTTTATGAATTATTCGATCATTAAGAGTAAGAATCGTTCACTTACATAGGTCAACATGTCTTCGGCAAGTTTCGACAAATAAAAGGTGTTATTTTTTTTGCCACTTATAATTTCAAAGATTAAGACTCCGAAGCTATACACGTCAGATTTCAAGGAGAAGTTTCCGTACATTGCATACTCAGGAGACATGTAACCGCTGAAAACATGAAAATGGTCAACAACGACAATCGTACAAAAATGACTTTATGAATCATACAAGTCAACTTACTATGTACCGACAATTCGATCGGTAATTCCTTGAGTTTGATCCACTTGAACAATTCTTGCCATACCAAAATCCGAAACTTTTGGATTCATATCCCCATCTAACAAAATGTTACTTGCTTTCAGATCACGATGAATAATTCGAAGACGAGAATCTTCGTGCAGATATAAAATTCCTCGAGCGATGCCGTTGATAATTGTATATCGTTTGGACCAATCCAGCTGTTTTTGTCTAATTGGATCTACAAGTTTTGGAAAATCAAGTTAAAAATATAGGAAATGAATGGTGAAAACAATAGATTATGAAGGAAGAACAAACCAAATAAGAAAAAATCGAGGCTTTTATTGGGGATGTATTCATAGATGAGTATCTTTTCTTCACCCTCCATGCAGAATCCCAATAACCTTACGAGGTTTCTATGATGAAGTTTAGCAACCAACGTAATCTCATTCTTGAACTCTTTAAAACCTTGCAGAGATCTTCTTGATAATCTTTTCACGGCTATCTCTTGTCCATTCTCAAGTCTACCCTGTAATAACACACCGCCAATTATTAATAGCTGAACTAAAATTTTTTTTCTTTTTTTTGTAATAGTTCCGGCTAATAATCTTTCGGTTTTAATCATCTTTGAGTTTTCCTTTCCAGTTTCTCCTCAAGGATTTTAAAACGCGTCCATTAGGGAGAGGTGTATGTGTAATCACGACTCTCCATAATGGTATGATATTGTTCACTTTGAGCATAAGCTTTCGTGGCTTTGCTTTGAGGCACACCTCTCCATAATAGTATGATATTGTCCACTTTGAGCATAAGCTCTCATGGCTTTGCTTTGGGTTTCCCTAAGAGGTCTCGTCCCAACAATCTGTTGAGGATTGTTGGGAGTGAGTCCCACGTTGGCTAATTTAGGGAATGATCATGGGTTCATAAATAAAAGAATACATCTCCATTGGTATGAGGCCTTTTAGGGAAGCCCAAAGCAAAGCCATGAGAGCTTATGCTCAAAGTGGACAATACCATACCATTGTGGAGAGTCGTGATTCCTAACACGATCCTCCGGGCTTCCCCAAAAGGTCTCATCCCAACAATCCTCCCTTCAAACAAAGTATACCATAGAGCTTTCCCTTAATTGAGACTCGACTCGTTTATCTAGAGCTCTCGAACAAAGTACACCCTTTGTTTGATTCATGAGGATTCTTTTGACATGGCTAAATTAAGAGCATGGCTCTCATGAATCACGACTTTCCACAATAGTATGTTATTGTCCACTTTGAGTATAAGCTCTCATGGCTTTGCTTTGAGCTTCCCCAAAAGGCCTCATACCAATGGAGATGTATTCCATACGTATAAACCCCGTTCCTTTCTCCAATCGATGTGGGATCTCACAATCTACCCTCTTCGACGCCCAGCGTTATTGTTGGCAAGAGTTACTTTCTCTCATCAATGTGGGACTCCACCAAAACCACCCTTTCGAGGCTCAACGTCCTTGTTGGCACATTACCCAATATCTGACTTTAATATTATTTGTAACCGTCCAAGTCCATCGCTAGTAGATATTATCCTCCTTCAAGTTTTGTTTTCGGGTTTCTCAAGGTTTTTAAAACGTGTCTGCTAGAGGTTTCCACACGGTTTCCACTCTTATAAAATGTGTTTCGTTCTCCTCCCAACCGATGTGGGATCTCACATTTTCATTCACAAGTATGAGTAGTTGTGTACCTTGTAGACTGCACCAAATCCGCCCTCACCGAGCTTGTTTTCCTCTGAGAAATTGCTAGTAGCAGCGTTGATTGTATTGAAATCAAATTGCAGAGATTCAGCAGTGCTCATCTCATCAATAACTGCACAAAATTATATCCCACAATAGGCTACAAATTTGCAGAAAACCAAATCTAGTATGTATGATAAAGGAAGAACAAATACCACTGTCTTCCTTTACAGCATTGTATTTCTTCTTTGCTGTTGGTCGCAGGAAATAGCAGCTCAGAGCAAACAGCAATATGGAGACAGTAACTGTAATTGGAACCACAATGGCCACAATTATCATCATTGAGGATCTACTTTCCCCTGTTCAACAAATTCTATAATTTCAGCTCTTTTTTTTTTCCCCTTCACAAAACGGGTGTAACGGAAGCTAAAACGACGATTACCCGGCGGCGGAGGAGGAGGAGGAGACGGCAGCGGCGGAGGAGGAGTAGACGGCGGCGGAGGCGGAGGAGGACTAGACGGCGGCGACGGAGGCGGAGGAGGACTAGACGGCGGCGGCGGAGGCGGAGGAGGACTAGACGGCGGCGACGGAGGCGGAGGAGGACTAGACGGCGGTGGCGGAGGAGGAGATGGGGGGTCCATCTGGGTTCTGAGCGCTTCCATGGATAACGTGGAGGAAGAGAAAAGTTGGAAAATTGAGCATGTCGATCATAAGAAGATTAGTAAGAAGTCAGTTTCCAAATTTGCACGCAAACGTAGAAATAGTATGAATCCGGACAGGACAATGGACAACCTTGGACGACGACAGTTTTTGGGTGCCTCCACTTTCATTTCGACCGCAATTATCTTATCGGGGCCGAAAACAAGTTCAAGAGGGTCGAAACAGTGAAAATCGGACTAAAATAGGGGTCCCTGAGCCGAATAAGCCGAGTAGCCGCCGGGAGCCGCACCAAGCTGTCTAAGCCGACCAAGCTGAAGGACTATTTGCGCCGCGGGTCAACACGCGGCAAGCCAGGAGTGAGCCACGTCATGTGCAAGCGTCTCGGGTCGAGAGGCGGTTTAGGTCAGCTCGCGGGTCGCATCGAGTCAAGGTGCTGCAGACTGGGCTACTGCTGCAGTGACGGTTGCTGTACCTCCAAGTGTCTGGCTATAGCCTAGAGAATCTAGTCCGACCAGCAAGCCCAGGGTGTCTGTGAGCCTGCCTGGTAGGCCTATGCTTGCACATGTAGGTTGTGTATAAAGAAGTACTGCGCATCCAATGTGCATAGATTGGAGGCCCCCTAAAAAAATACGGTTTTAAATGATAGGTCTCATTTATTTTGCAAGTCCATGACATCGTTTTATGATATTGTTTTAATTGAATGTTTCTGCATACAAAGGTTATATCATGCATATGATAGCGACTCTATTTCGGTAGAAAAATCACTGTCATTACAATTACAATAAAGATTTTCACAAGTGCTCCAAAATAATTTCTCACTAAATTGTACTTACAAATCACTACCTTGAACTATCCATATGGCTAAGAGCCTTCATAGTCGAGACACAACGACACTGACTCTTTAATTACCCAAACAACCTAAAACTGTCTACTTCTCTCCATTTAAATAGGATAACCCTAGAGCTTTGTTGGCTACTAGTACCAGCATCATAGCTTTATACCTCAAGTGATAAGATAAGGAATCCCTACAAGGGAAGTAAGATTCGGATTACCTTGTTGATCGAATATCTCAAGACAAGAATATTGTTTGAGATTCGAATCACTCCACAAGCAAGATCGATCATGTCTAGCTTGAATAATTCTTGTTCATCAAATATCTCTACGCAAGAACACTTGATTGAGATTCGAATCATCTGAATCTTACTCCACTTGTAGCGATTCCTTATCTTATCATCAAGCCCTAGCACCTTGACTTCTTGAGTTCTTAGCTCAACTTCATTTCTCTTGTTCCCACCATTTGCCCATCAGGACCAATATGAACACAATCTTCCAAAACCAACCCTCGATGCTTTGTCTTGAACCACATAATCTTATATCCAACACTCGTCACCAACCCAACTCTCAAATCCACCTTCCCACACAACCCATTCACACTCAACTCAACCTCATGCACATCAATTCTCTTGCTTTCCAAATAAAATCCCGACATCGAGCTCAACCCGACACTCTCGTTCTTGCAACGTACTGTTACATTAAGCTCATCGAAGAACACACCAACCATTTTGTTGGGGTTTGAGATCGTCACATTCAATGCTAAGGAAGAGCTAGCGCTACCATTTTGATATGGCTTCAAATCCATGTTGGAGATCATGAAGATAGGCTTCTTGGGGATTAGGCTCGCCCATATGGCTAAAGAGGCTAACCCTAGAATTGTTAGAACTTGTAGGAACCATATGTATATAGAAAACTCGCATTTGGAGGCGTTTTTGGCTTCCATTTTGGAGAGAAGGGTGATGATTATAATGGTATTATATAGAAAGCTTGCAATTTCTTTGTGAAGAAGAAAGGTAAGCCATTTTGGTGTCGTGTTTGAGTTGGTTGGAAAGAGGAGCCTTTAGCTACTTTTGTTTGCTTTATTCGTTTGTTCGTAGGAACATGATTTGTGGGTGTTGTGTTTTTTTAATTTTTACATATCATATGCACTTCATCTATGACATTTAAAGGGGATTTCTTAGGTGTAAAGTTGTAACTTTTGCGTCATTGATCATATTGGAAAAGCTTGAGTGGGATTCCTTGCTTCAAACTACTAAGAATGTTCCCACTTCCCTTGTTACAAAAACATTTTCATTGTATTTAGTTTGTTTTATTTCCTCGAGAAGTGGGCGTAAGTAAGGCGGATTCAACTGTAATGTCGAGGACGAAAGATGCTTTAACCTATAAATCTCGTTTAATTAGGTTCTGGATCATAATTTTGATAGTAGGGCTTTCACCCATCTCAATTGATCAGTTTTTGGTCAGTAATCTCGTACTTTTTGATAGTAGGGCTTTCACCCATCTCAATTGATCAGTTTTTGGTCAGTAATCTCGTACTCTCGGGCTTTCACCCATCTCAATTGATCAGTTTTTGGTCAGTAATCTCGTACTTTCGACCAATTCACTGATTATCTAGTGTGTTAATGTAACAGCTGAAGTCCACAGCAAGTAAATATTGTCTTCTTCGGGCTTTTTCTTCTGGACTTCTTCTCAAGGTTTTTAAAACGTGACTACTAAGTAGAGGTTTCCACACCCTTATAAAGAATGTTTTGGTCCTCTCTCCAACCGATGTGGGATCTCACAATCCACCCACTTTGGAGCCTAGCATCCTTGTTGGCACTCGTTCCCCTCTCCAATCGATGTGGGACCCCCCAATTCACTCCCTTCAGGGCCCAACGTCCTTGCTGGCACACTGCCTGGTGTCCACCCCCTTCGATGCTCAGCTTCCTTGCTGGCACATTGCCTGATGTGGGATCTCACAGTTAACTTTCGCCCGAAGCAAGCAAGACGAGGTCGACCCTCCCTATCAATCTTGCTATTTTTCCCCTCCAAATTCTCAGCATATCTACGCATTTGATTAAACGGCCAATACTGCTGATCTTCCAAAAATATGGACAGTTAGACATCAAGTTTTTTACAAGAGAAAAAAGAGTATGTAGAAGTTCGTGTTTTTTTTTTTTTTTTTTTTTTTT